AGCTTAGTCCCTATATTAATCTGGGGTCGCCACCGCAGAATGAACCGCCAACTTATCCAGCATATGTTCTATGCAGCAGATGCCCTTTCAGCTGCAACCCTTCTCTGGGAAACATCCATACAGACTCATTCACACTCATACACTACGGACAATTTAGCTTACCCAATTCACCTATACCACGTCTTGTGGAGGAAACCAGAGGAAACCCACATGAACGCGGGGAGAACATGCAAACATGCACACAGAAACACTGAGGCTCAAACCAGCGACCTTCTTGCTGTGAGGCGACAGCACTACCAACTGCTGGTAGTCGTAAGGTACTCCCAGGTACAGACGTCCAGTCGACACGCTTGAATACACGCTAAGATCTCATGGCCGTGACGCAGCTTCAAAAATTTGTTTCAAACTGGATGTACGAATTTGCTCGAAATAACATAAAAACAAGCAATTTTCACTTTTTAGTGAAATATATGTGCCCTAATAGTGTTTTTAGCAGTGTGGGACACATTTACAGGAGTCAACAGCTCAAAAAAATGTGTTTTGGTGTTTCGTGACCCTTTAAAAATACACTCTGGACCAGCCAGCCGGCGTTTATATTGATGCATCAAAATCACAGTTGTCTGGTATCAGGGTTAGGGATCTTGAATAACACATTCTCTGGTTTATTTATTCGTGAAAGATTTATCTTTACATCATTTTTAACCTGCAAATTACATAAGAAATGAGACTGTGGGTTTCTACTCAAGTACTTGATACTTTGGTCATTTTGAAGCCAGCTTTGGAAAGATGTGAGTGGGGGAAAATGGCCTCTGTGATCAGGAATGACCATAATGACTAGTTTTGCGGGATCCTGCTCTTTCTGCCCTCTGGGTTTTTTTGGGGGGCGACAACACACACTGGTTTCCCTCTGGTCCTCCATTCAGGCCCACAGCTCTCTAAACAGAGGCGTAGAAATCGGCTACATTTAATCAGACACGGTGTGGAGGATCAGCAGAGCTTTTCCTTCATTGATTTGCCACAGTTAAGGATCCACCACACTTGGTTACCGGCACTGAAAGAATTCCTCAAATGACACAATAAATGAAACCACATGCTGTCTTTACAGATTTTCTACTTTTATTAATCCAAACAGCATAATTAAAGCAACTATGGGGTGTATTAGATTGCTTTTTCACTGCCAAGAAGACTTTAATAGAGTCCTCAGTTCTGTATTCTCCTTTCAATAGCAGAATAAATTAAATAAATATTTAATAATGAGCAAATAAATGGATGCAAACTTCTCAATAGCAGCTCGTTGGACAGCAGATCAGATCATTTGAGTTTTGTGAGAAGCACATTTGAATAGTTTTAGACGTTATTAAGACACCGTGAAAATTAATGAATAACTAAACTAGATTGTTTTGAAAAATTAAGGTTACATTATATACAGAAGAGTGTTACAAGTACAGTACGTACAGTAAGCCAAAGATAAATTTGCTCTAGTTGAATTTAAAGGGATAAACAAAAATACTATTCTCAAATTTGTTTCTCCTCTACATTTTTTTGAATTGTTTGTTTTATTTTGAGCATCAGCTTTAAGATGTTTCTCATAAACAACATTATAGGATAAAGTATGGGGAAATAAATGAATAGTCAATAAACAGATACAATCAAGACAATTGTTGCTAGAATTGCTATAAAATAAACATGGATAGCAGATCATTTAAGTTTTGTAAGAAGCACATTTTAATAGTTCTATACATTTTTAAGACACGGTGGAAAAAAAATTAGCATGCATTTAACTTGCTGAAGACAAAACTGAAGGGAAAATGCCCCAAGAACGGCACACTGTGGCGCGACGCAATTGTTGTTTGCTAGTTTCAGCTCGGCGCAAGAGTCATTTTGACGTTTTGCGCCATGCTGTTTAAATAGCAAATGCATTTGCACTCATATGTGCGCCCATAGGCGTTCTGGTCTATAAAAGGAGGTGTATTGAGGCGCATTGCTGGCGCGTTGCTATTTTGAGGAACTTAAACAGACGGTTCAATAGATCAGATCAAAGCTGGTCTATTGTCCAGCGCAGAGTGAGCTAGTTGTGCGCCGCTGTTAAATTGCTTCATACACACAGGATACAGCAATATGTAAATATATTTACATATGAAAAAGGATTAAAATATTACAAAAAATATTATTTTCTAGCCTACATAAATCTAAAAACCATACTTTCATGCCTTCTTCATCTCGGGGGGCTTTTTCAGTTTATTCATAACAATTTGCTTTTGTATATTGTTATTATTATTAGCAGTATTATTTATTATATACATATTTATATTTGTTTTATTAAAAACAAGCTTAGATTGTCATGTTTTAGACCATATGGGGCAGTATATGTATTTGGACACACTTCGTTGTTATTGTTCATTTATTCGTTTGCTGGAACTTTGAACTGAATTTAGAAATAGTTTTGAAACAAATGTTTGCGCTTAACAAACAAAATTAATTATGTAGGCTATCGGATGTCTGTGCATACAGCACATTTCCCTATCCGCGAGAGTGAAAGCGAAAGTAAACAATGAGGAGGCTTATCTCTCATTCTCGCGCTGCAGATGCTCTGTTTAACTGTTTTCTCTCGAGTGAAAGTGTTCAGTTTTTCCACTTACAAAGTCCGGCAAGTAAATAGCAAATGCGTTATGGCGCGACGCAACTGACAATTAAAGGGAATGAGAGATGAGACTCTGATTGGTTTATTCTCAAAACACACCTATAACTCATAAAGAAAATAAGCTCAATCCTTTTAGACTATGTGCCACGGCACAAAGCGGATTTTTCCATCCTTAAAATAGCAAAAGTAGATTCTAACACACCCTTAATGTGTGTGCTTTCTGCGCTTTGCACTTTGCGCCTGGATCGTCAAAATAGAGCCCAATGTCTATATGTTCCAGACTTCAGGCTGTAATTGACTGCCAAGGATTTGCAATCAAGTATAAAAAAAGTGAAAGTTTGAATTATGATTATTATTCTGTCCAACAAGTGGGAGGGACATATGCAAACTGTTGTAATTCCTACAGCGTTCACCTGATTTGGATGTAAATACCCTCAAATTAAAGCTGTCTGCAGTTAAAGCACCTCGTGTTTGTTTCATTTTAAATCCATTGTGTTAGTGTATAGAGCCAAAAGTCTTAGAATGTCCTAATATTTATGGACCTAACTCTATAATTCTAATATGTATCAGACAAAATTGATCAATTCAATTTCAATTAAATGAATTTTGTAGCAGCTATGAGCAAAAAAAAAAAAAAAAAACACTTCTTTACACTAAACCTGATATCAAACCATCCATAAATGGTATTATCTTTAAGATCTGGAGCATTCTCAAGTTCTTTTGGAATTCTCAAGTGTTTTTTGAAATTCTACGAGAAGTTTCTGAGATGAAGTTGATACTTTAAAACAGCCAGCCTCCAGAATGTCTGACTTAATAGAATTCTCAGTTGTAACATTAAAGTATCAGCTTTTCCTGTCTGACTTGACTAAAGTGACCTTTAAGCTAAAACTAAAATCAAACAATCACAAACAGTCCCTTGCAGAACTCTCAAATGCTTTTGGAAATCTACACTGTAAAAAAAATCTGAAATTTAATGGTTTATTTCCGGCACCCCCCAAAAAATGTAGAATAACGGCTACAAAAAATGATTATAAAATAACAGAGGTTTAATTACAGAAATTTAACAGAAATCTAAATTTATGTAAATTTCTGTAATTTATTGTCTGTTATTTCACAGTAAATGTCATTATTTTAAATTTTTTCCCCGTAATAAACTGTAACATTACTGATTTTTTTTTTTTTACAGTGAGAATTAAAATCCCAGACAAAGTGACTGAGCTCAGATAGCACTGCATTTAAAACGTTGAAGATCTCAGTTATATATTTTAATGTTTTGCATTGAAATCAATTGACCAGACCTTTGTTTTACATTACCTATTATTGGTAACACTTTACAGTAAGATTTTATTAGTTAATGCATTCGCTAACATGAACAAATAATGAACAATACATTTATTACAGTATTTGTCCATAATTGTTAGTGAAAATTCAGTTGTTCATTGTTAATGTTAACTCACGGTGCATTAACTAACGTTAACAAACATGAATTTGAATGTTAATAATGTATTAGTAAATGTTGTTCTATGATTAATAAATGCTGTCCAAGTACTGTTTATTATTAGTTCATGTTAGCAAATAGCTAATGAGACCTTGTTGTAAAGTGTGACATTAAATTTTAATCTATTTATTATTACACAATTTAACTTAACTCAAAGCACATTTGCTAAGTCAAAGATGCTATTAATCTTAAACGTTTTGTTTTAAGCCTCAGCTTTACCGTGTTTCTTTCTAAAAAGCATTTGAATTAATAATGAATAAATAAATTGGTAAATGTGACCCTGAATAAAGCAAGTGATAAGTGTAGATTTATTCATAAAAGCTGTATAAATAAGCTGTCCATTGATGTATTGTTTGTATAGGACAATATTTGGCAGAGATACAGCTATTTAATAATCTGAGGGCTCAAAAATCTAAATAAACACTGCAGAAAATTGTCTTTACTGTTTATATGAAGTTATTAGCCATGCATATAAATCATTGAGCTTTTATATATTTATAGTGAAAAATGTGCAAAATGTCTTCATGGAACATGCTCTTTACTTAATATTCCAATGATTATTTTTACCCTCAAAAAATTTAACCAGATCATTTGGACCAATACAATGGATTTTTGGGTATTGCCACAAATAAACCCATGCAACACAAGATGAAGTTGTTGTCCAGGGACAAAAATTATGAGTCAATATATGAATACAAGTTGTTGCTACAATTGCTGAAAAATCATTTGAGTTTTGTAAGAAGCACATTTTAGTAGTTTTATTCACATTTTATTAGTACACTTTGACATTTAAAAAGGTTTTCTTCTCAATCAAAAGCATAGACATGATGCTATTTTCTATTGTGCGTTCATTTTTTTCAGATTTTACTCCTGAAATGAACGGAAGAATGAATATTAGCAGCCTGATCTCACAAGGAAAGGTAACTATATAACGTTTTATTAGTGGCTAACTCGTAATCATACCAGCTCAGTCGTACGAACATGTTTGATTTTAAAAAGGAGGCGTGGCACCCAAGCCCACCCCTAAACCCAGCCGTCATTGGGCAATGAGCAAATTGTCCTAAATTGCATGAATTCGATCATACGAATTAGCCACAAAATCAAAAATGTACGAACTGCCATGAGATTGTGTTGATATTAGAAGTAAATATGAACATGGACCAAAGAGAAAGTCGGTTTTAAAGGTTCAGTTCACCCAAAACTGGCATTTCTGTTATCATTTATTCAACTCTTCTTGTTCCAAGTATATGATTTTTTTTATTTTTTATTTTTTTGTTAAACACAAAAACACACACATATATGAAATAAAACATTTTCTAAACCAGTAGCCACTGACTTTCATGCTATTTGTGTTTCCTACTATGGGAACATTCATTTAAATATCTTTGTGTTTTATGTCAAAACTGAAAATCCTGTCATCATTTACTCACCTCTCACTTGTCACAAACCTGTTTAAGTTTCTTTATGTTTAACAAAAAAGAAGGTATTTAAAAAAAATTTTGTAATCGGCAACCATCGACTTATAATATTTGTTTCACTGTATTGAAGTCGATGGTTACCGGTTTCTAACATTCTTCACATTATCTTTTATCTTCAACCCAAAAATAACACTCATAAAGGTTTAGACCACTTGATGGAGAGTAAATATTCATTTTTTTGAGTGAACTATCCACTATAATACTATAATAAGGCTAATAGCCCTCAATAAAATGCAAAACTGATAACACACCTTTTAAACTAATTACTTACATATCAGATTATTCATTTCAAAAATTCTTCTTTTATTAAAACAGAATCAGAACTCCAATTAAAGGGGTAGATCACCCCAATCTGAAAATCCTGTCATCATTTACTCACCCTGCACTTGTCACAAACCTGTTTGAGTTTCACTTTTGAACAACAACAACAAAAAAAAGAGATTTTGAAAAATGTTGGCAACCAGTAACCATCAACTTTTGTTTGTTTTTCCTACTACTGCATTGAAGTCAATGGTTACCGGTTTCTAACATTGTTAAATATCTTGGTTTAGAACCACTTGATGGAGCATAAATAGTGAGTAAAATTTCATTTTTTGAGTGAACTATCCACTATAATAAAACTATCGTCAGCCCTCAACAAACACAAAACTAATAACACACCTTTTAAACTAATTACTTCTGTTGTTTTAACAGACTTCAGCACGTAACGTTAGGGTCACTGATTATCTGGAATTTCTTTCTTTGTTGGGTTACATCAGAATATTTGTTTAAACAAATTTTCCTTTTATCAAAACAGAAAATCACAACTCTATTTAAAGGGGTAGTTCACCCCAAACTGAAAATCCCCTCATCATTTACTCACACTGCACTTGTCACAAACCTGTTTGAGTTTCTTTCTTCTGAACGAAAAATATATTTTCTAATATGTTGGCAACTGGTAACCATTGAGTTATAATATTTGTTTTTCCTACTTCTGTATTGAAGTCATTGATTATCAGTTATAACATTCTTCAAAATATCTTCTTTTGTCTTCAACCCCAAAATAACACGAATAAAAGATTATAACCACTTGATGGAGAGTAAATTTTCATTGTTTGAGTGAACTATTCACTATAATAGTATTATTGTCAGCCCTTGACAAAATGTGAAACTAAAAACACATCTTTTATATTAATTGTTTTAACAGACTTCGGCACGTAACGTTAGGGTCAGTGATTACTGGGAATATTTTGTTGTTGGGTTACATATCAGAATATTTGTTTTAAAAAAATCTAATTTTATCAAAACAGAATCAAATCTCCAATTAAAGGGGTCGATCATCCAAAAACTGATAATCCAGTAATCATTTACTCACGCTTGACACAAACCTGTTAGAGGTTCCTTCTTCTGAACAAAAAAGAAGATATTTTGAAAAATGTTAGCAACAGGTAACCATCGACTTATAATATGTGTTTTACTGTATTGAAGTCAATACTTTCCGGTTTCTAACATTCTTCAAAATGTTTTCTTTTATCTTCATCCCAAAAACTACACTTAAACAGGTTTATAATCACCTGATGGAGCGTAAATAGTGAGTAAAATTTTATTTTGTGAGTGAACTATCTGCTATAATAAGTCTATCACCAGCCCTCAATGCAACAAAACTAAAAACACCTTTTAAACTAATTACTTCTGTGGTTTTCACAGACTTCAGCATGTAACGTTAGGGTCAATGATTATTGGGATTTTTTGTTGTTGTTTTGGTTGGGTTCCATATCAGAATATTTATTTTAAAAATTCTCCTTTTATTAAAACTCAATTTAAAAGGGTAGATCACCCCAAATTGAAAATCCCCTCACATCTTACTCACAAACCTGTTTGAGTTTCTTTCTTCTGAACGAAAAATATATTTTCTAATATGTTGGCAACTGGTAACCATTGAGTTATAATATTTGTTTTTCCTACTTCTGTATTGAAGTCATTGATTATCAGTTATAACATTCTTCAAAATATCTTCTTTTGTCTTCAACCCCAAAATAACACAAATAAAAGATTATAACCACTTGATGGAGAGTAAATTTTCATTGTTTGAGTGAACTACTCACTATAATAGTATTATTGTCAGCCCTTGACAAAATGTGAAACTAAAAACACATCTTTTATATTAATTGTTTTAACAGACTTCGGCACGTAACGTTAGGGTCAGTGATTACTGGGAATATTTTGTTGTTGGGTTACATATCAGAATATTTGTTTTAAAAAAATCAAATTTTATCAAAACAGAATCAAATCTCCAATTAAAGGGGTCGATCATCCAAAACTGACAATCCAGTAATCATTTACTCACGCTTGACACAAACCTGTTAGAGGTTCCTTCTTCTGAACAAAAAAGAAGATATTTTGAAAAATGTTTGCAACAGGTAACCATCGACTTATAATATGTGTTTTACTGTATTGAAGTCAATAGTTTCCGGTTTCTAACATTCTTCAAAATGTTTTCTTTTATCTTCATCCCAAAAATTACACTTAAACAGGTTTAGAATCACCTGATGGAGCGTAAATAGTGAGTAAAATTTTATTTTTTATTTTATCTGCTATAATAAGTCTATCATCAGCCCTCAATGCAACAAAACTAAAAACGCACCTTTTAAACTAATTACTTCTGTTGTCTTAAAAGACTTCAGCATGTAACGTTAGGGTCAATGATTATTGGGATTTTTTGTTGTTGTTTTGGTTGGGTTCCATATCAGAATATTTATTTTAAAAATTCTCCTTTTATTAAAACTCAATTTAAAGGGGTAGTCCACCCCAAATTGAAAATCCCCTCACATCTTACTTACAAACCTGTTTGAGTTTCTTTCTTCTAAACAAAAAAGAAGATGTTTTTAAAAATGTTGACAACCGTTAACCATCGACTTATAATATTTGTATTATCCACCATAGTAATGATATTGTCAGCCCTCAACGAAACACAAAACTAAAAACGCACCTTTTAAACTAATTACTTCTGTTGTTTTAACAGACTTCAGCATGTAACGTTAGGGTCACTGATTATTGGGAAATCATGCGTTTAGAAGCCAAAACAGAAGAAAAAGGTTATTGTCCAGAGTTAAATATATGCATCTTTGAGTTGAGTGAAACCTCATAAAGCCTCAGAGCGAAAGAGCCAGATTTTGGAGATGTTTCGAATAAAAGTAGCTCAGAAAAAGCTCACACACACGCTGGCACCTATTGCTCTAGGGCTGTTCCTTACCCTCCCCCGGCCCTGAAACTCGATCTGTCGGCATGCAGCTCCGAATTCTTCATTCACCCTGACATTTGACCTCTGGCCTTTTTGGCAGCGCACAGAAGAGAAGATGAAGTGTCCAAGGCTCTTTTTCTCCAACACAAAAAATCTCCTGTTCTTGCAAGCCTCCCACACACTCACACATACACACACACACACACACACACACACATAGAGAAGCACTTTCAGGATGACTTCTACCGATGTCTACCCCTTGTTCCTGTGATCCACGGAGCACAATTACGTATACTATCTGGCTAATAGTCTGTGACATCAAGGGAGAGCTTTAAAAAAAAAAGAAGTGTGATTCCTGTTTCGACTGCCCACAGACTGGTGCAACTTAAAAGCTTCACACAATGCTTTCTGGAGCGTCTGACCATTATGAGTGGCATATTACGGAGCTCCTCTGTCATTTTGCTCTTTGATTGCTCCATTACAATGTAATCAGTGTTTGAGCCTAAGTGAAAAGGCTTCTTGTACTTCATCTGAGTAATTCTTGCCTGGCGAGTGTGTGTGTGTGTGTGTGTGCGCAGCTTTAGCTCCATTCATGTGCACGACAACAAACTGACTGTTGAGTGAGTGTCGTGCCACTTGATATACTGCCTCACTTTGTCAAGCGCTTATCTCGCTTTGTTACTTTTTCCTTTTTACTTGAAATTTGCCCGGTCGATACCTAACTGGCAAACACGGAGGGGAAAACAGGACAATGTCAAATGGGATTTCTTTAGTAGTTGTTTGTAATGGTGTTGAGATTGGAGATGGAGACATTTGGTTTTCTGCTCGCAATTTGAGTGGATTAAAGGGGTAGTTCACACAAAAATGACAATTTACTCACTATTTAGTCACCTTCATGTGGTTCCAAACCTTCATTCTTTATTTAGTTGAACATTAAAGACAATAACTTAAAGAAAGCTGCAAATCTGTAACCATTGACTTCCATAGAAAGAAAAACAAAGCCTATGGAGGTAGAGGTCTTCAAAATACTTAATCAGTTTTGTTCAACAATTAAAGAAACTAACAGAGGTTTGATACAAGAAACGGGTGAAGAAATGGTGAAAGAATTTGCAGTTTTAAAACTCAAATTCTATTTTGATAAAAAGAGAATTTGTTTAAATAAAAATTCTGATATGTAACCCCAAAAAAAAAATAATCCTGATAATCACTGACCCTGAAGTTA